AGTGTTGCATTATGTACTGTTTGTAGCCTTAGGGTATGTTCTAGAAATTTGGAGGAGTGTGTTACCTTTTACCCGCTGACTGTATGACCAATAATTGAACACCATTTCCATCACATTGCTTTTGTTTACACTTTCTGGACCGTTTGAGTTTTTGCCTTTGTGAACGCAAACTGGACCAGCTGGAAATTTAAACAATGTATCATTCAGGTGCTGGTTCGATTCAGGAAACGGACCTTTAGGTGTCAACCCACCCTCAGTGTTGCCAGGAAAGCAAGTTTCTTCAAGTCTATTTAAAGTGTTTTGTTTATTTTAGAGTTTGTCAGCCCTAAAAGTGTTTAGACAGCCTATTTTCACCTACAGGAGTTTCTGGCTGCCACATAAGTTTAAATGAGTCAACCGTCACCATCTTTAGTGCAGAAACAGACTTGGAGTATCATTATGCAGAGCAATCCTCATTTTATAATCTAGGGTCATCTAAGGGCAAATACAGTACATATGCAAAGTGTACATTTAGCTTGGAGCAGGAGTTTTCAATGCATGCTAACATTTGCTAGCACTCATTGATGCACTTCTTCAGCTGCTGTAAACATAGGGATTTTAATTTGGGTGAAATGTTAGCTACTGTATATGATGGTGTGTGTTAGCTTAATTCCGTCATAAGAACAACAGTTGTCAATGTCTGCACATGCTAATTGTATGATAATGATAATTGTGGTTTTTGTTGTTACACAACTGATGGAGCTACTCATGCAAGAACTGCAGCACATTCTCAAACAATCCAGATTTGGCCACGCTTCTGTCTGTCTTTATTACTACATTTGCAAGAAATTAACCTCTACTTCTAAGTCTACTTTAATTTTGGCAAATTAAATCAAGTGTTAAGTCTTCAATAGCCCAGGAGAAGCAAGTACAATGAGCCAAAGTGAGCCTTCATGTTAAAGTGTATAAAGGACATCCCAGGGATAAGAATTGACAGCATGAGCAGTGTTGTAAACCAAGGGATCACCCCAGCTTTACAAAGTGTACACTTCCCTCGGGTGCAGCAGGTAATTAAAAGCTGTAAATGTTTAAAAGGTAAGAGTAGAAAGCTTTGAATGAAGTACGAGTGTGACATTTATTACACAGGGTTTTCCTCAATCTCAAAGGCAACTTTGGGTCTATTTCCAGCACTTCTATTCAGCTAAGTGTATTTTTTCTGGAATCAACATCATAGCCAGCAGCAGATCTGCAGGCTCTGCCTGTGTCTTTACTTTAATCTCCATTTAATGCTGAAAGCACAGTGATAAAAACCTTCTGCCAAGAGACACAGACCTAACTACAGGATCAAGGACAGAAATGTTTAGCCAAGGCCTGGCACACACTGACAGATGTCTTAGGGGCTGATTTTTCGGAAAAATAATTTACAGTGTAAGCGTGGTGACAGAAATACTGAACTGAAGTTGAAGAAATCTCCGTTTACACCATGTGAGATCGATGTATCCTTTATGACACCAAGTAACCTACCATGACATAGTAAATCTCACACAAATCTGTCAGTTTTCTTTTGCAGCTAGTCAGATGTCAAACATGCACACATACACACACACACACACACACACACACACACACAAAGATGTCATGAGCACTAGCCTGAAATGGCCTGGGAATTGGCCCTAAGCTCTGTGTGTCTATGTGTAGAAGCAGAGAGAAAAGAGGCAGACAGAAAAGTCAAAGGTCTAAATGTGGACAAATATAGAGAGGAAGTGGGAGATAGGCTAAATGAGGAAAGAAAGTCATAAGAGTCAGAGAGATATTCTGGCTTCCTAAACAGAACAAGATAAATTGGCCTCACAGCGGTTGCGTGTGCAGCATCCAGCTGACACACACACATAAACACACTTGGTTCATTCATGTCTATATTACGTTGCACTGAGTTAGCCCAAACAACATAGGGATATAATGGAAGGTAAGGTCTGAGATTAGTCGCCTTTTTAATTCATAGTGTAAAGTAAGTAACAATCAAACTGATGTGGGGTTTTTTCAGTATGGTCTCATTATATTGGTAGTGGTTTGCCTATTGCCACTAATTTACTGTGCTACATAAATTCAGACTGATGACATAATACAATATTTGAAAATATTTGCATATTTTGTTTTCCCTTGGAGCATGAGATGTACCCACATCCTGTCTTTAGAAATCAGTTTCTCTTGTCTATCCTCCACAACATTATTCCCTTCCTGGCTTAAGGTACCAAAATGTGTTGTTTTTTGTCACCTTGGCCTATGCACCATTTGATATGTAATGTAAAATCTGTATTGAAGAAATGAGGGGACTGAATGCCATATATATAAGTGTCGTGTTGAACTTATTCCCACAAGTTATAATATACCGTATTCCAGGGGTTAACATACATAGATTTACTTACTTCCTCTGCTAAAATAATTCAAACCCTCTGAGAAAGAAGACTAAAAGAGCATTGGATTTGTTTCCCTTTACATCTTATTTTCTTTTCATTGTCCTGCATGTTTTTTTAAATATATGTTCCATTGGGATTTTGGACAAGAAGAGAATACACATTTCAACTTCACATGTTCTAATACTTATTCCACCCTTTGAGCTCTTGCTGTCTTCAATAAAGCACAGTAAAGCTGTGCATGAAGGAGAAAAAGAATCAAATCTGATGACAGTCTTACACACTGCTTTAAGTACAATCTAAGAGATGTTCCAATGTGACAACTCAACACGGGAGCCAGCAGAAACTATTTCCTTAACAGTACTGACACAATAAATTCATGGTGAGAAAATGTATAATGGCTGTGATTTCCCATGTTATCTCCCTCCACAGGAGAGTAGATGAAGGGAACTGAGGAAATGTAGTTCTGAATAATTCCTTGACAAATGAAGCAATGGCTCCTCTACTAAGAGGTTGCTGTAGCACAAAGTGCAAGATGAAAAAGACCCTGACTTTGGTTCTGGGATTCAAAATGTAAAAGATATGGAACAATAAATGCAAGACAGCATACCCTAAAGAGTATTGTTCAAGGCGTATCCACTTTCACTCTATGCTGCTTATCATGGCACATCACATTATGTCAGACTAGAAAATCACTCAGTGTGTGTGTGTGTGTGTGTGTGTGTGTGTGTGTGTGAGGGCCAGCACTGCCAAACAATCTCTGAATGTGTGACTCAAAGGCATGGTGCGTGTTAAAGTGTGTGTGTGTCATAGAAAACAGGCACAGTATGTTGTCATTGCTTGGAGACACCAACATGCATATTGCACATGGCACAACAACAAAACACAAGCAGGAAAGTGCACACAATCAAAGAGACTGCAGCCCTCCCCCAGCAGAGTTCAGATGTTACTGCCGAGTCAAAGTTAAGTCAAAAGCCACTGACGCTTGAAACTATGCATGTCTAATCTGGGAATAAGACAAATACAAATACACGTTTATAGGAATGTAAACGCACATAGTTTAAGGGAAGATTTGTATTGTGCATTCAAGGAAACTTTAAAAGTGCTGTGGTAATGATGAATGATGATGAACGCTGAGTCTAGGCATCTGTCAAAATAATGGATGCTTTGGAGTCACTGAGACATATATTACCCATAAAAAGCAGAATACATATTCCTGGTTGCATGGTTTAAAAATGCACTGTTTCTTTGATGACGCTCAGTTTGCAAAAAAACACTCTGAGAGGTATGATGCACATAGAATGAATCAATTCTGCAAAATCAAAACAGTTGTACTGTTTGCATATACGATCTATGTGTGCCTGACCCAATGTACACCAAGTGCCTTTTCAATTTACATGTTTGTACTATCAAAATGTAGTTGACAGACCCCATCCTATCCTATCTGTTTTGCCCAAACACATTTCATTCCTACCCCAGCCCATCATAACCTGTCATATAGAACAAAGAAAAATATCCTCAATTGCTATAATGCCTCTCCTTCCCATTTCACTTGGGTCACAGGGCTCTATTGTAGGTCCACTACTGTTGCAGTCATCTGTTTTATTGCTAACTCTCGTGGACACCATTTGCAAATATAACATTCAATATGAATTTTCATTTGTATGCAGGTGACACATGGGGAAAATCACAATCTTGAAATTCTCATTAACTGCCTTGAGCAGGTGAAGGGCTGGATGTCTAAATGATAATCAGAGGTCATAATAGTCTGTCCCCACAACTCCAGTCAGTGCTACTGTAATAACCTTGGCATTCTGTCAATAAATGTTACCTGGAAGCTACCTTTTTGACTCTGATCTCAGTTTTGATGCTCAAGTCAACAAGGCTGGGCAACTTCCTCTTCTTAAAAACACTCCAAAGTGAGATATTTTCTATCCTTATTATATTGTGACCACTATCTTAGTTTCATCTTGTTCAGACAATTGTACCTCAGTTTATTCATGTTTAAGCCAGAGATCTCTCTCTTGATTGCAGTTAGTCTAGAATGTGGCAGCTAAGACCTTAACAAATTCACTGAAGTGTGACCACATCTCCCATATTTTGGCCTTCCTTCACTTGCTACCAGATCATTTAGGAATTCTGTGAACTCCTGACCCCTTACAAACGGGACCACAGCCTGAGAGTCAGGTTGGTAACTAGATGTGACAGAGGCTTTGCCACTGATTTAATCATCATAATCAGTCCCATTTTTGTCCAATCCTGTTCTTCCCTATTGTGCTCATGCCCATTCAATGCTTTCTAGCTTCATTGTAGAGTATTCTGTGCTGTCCCAACTTATTCAATCCCATCCCATCCTATCCTATCATTCCCATCCCATTTTTCATCCAGATCTGAACAGGTGGACACCATACATTCTTTCCTGTATTAGGAATTCATGGTCTTCTCATACAGCAATCATATGCCTACGTTTTCTTTTCTATGTCCTATAATCATAATAATAATAACATTTCTCAAACCACCACACACAAATTCATGACATATTTTTTTCTTAATGGGGCCATCCATCCATCCATCCATCCATCCATCCATCCATGCACCATGTCCTACCTGTCACTTTGAGTTGTGTGGTCCGCCGCACGAGTCTGGATCCATACTGTAACTCACACGTGTAATTTCCCCCGTCGCCCTCCTCTACCTCAGGAATCCAGACATGTGTAGTGTTAACTGTGATGGAGCTTCTCCATTCGACCCGCTCACACTCCTGACAGGAGACACAGACTCGTCAAGTTACAATACAACAGTCTACAGAAGACAGTTACTCAACCTTTTGTCTGTGTCTTACCTTATACCAGGTCATCTGCGGTTGCTTGTATGGAGCCATATAGTCTTCTATATCAGGGCAGGTGATCATTTTGCTATGGGTTATCTCAGCCTTTTCCAGGTGGCGGATATTGCTGCTGAAGCATTTCCCCTCATCACTCTCGTCCACAGTCATCGACATGGACACTTTCATGCAGTATGTCGAGTTCCTGAACAGATTGCAAACACAACATTGGGAAAATGTTTTTATCATGTTCTTCTTCTGACATTAGCAGTGAAAAAAAAAGAGAAATCACCAATAAAATCTCAAGTTCCAGTTGTGGAGTTGTATGTGTGAGCTACTCAACATCACAAAAATAATATGTATAAGCAGTTTGCATTTCTAAGTCAAGTCAAGCACCCCAAAATGAATTTGAATGGTTTTGTTTTGAGGACAAGACTTAATGACAACAGTAACATGAGTCATCCCTCCATTTCTCCAACACTGGACCTCTGTGTGAAAAAGTGTAAAAGCTGTTTTCATGGTTAAAGTATTGGGTAGACCGTTTGGCAATGTTGTGGGTATTTGGTAAAATTATAGGCCCTCTGACATCTCAGTTTCTTTGACAACATTGAAGAATTGGCGCCCAGAAGAAATTACAGGTTGTACAACCTCTAACACACAAACAAAACATCATTTCATAGCAAATGAAAGTATGTGAAGGCACAATTTTAGGAAGTGGATTCCTTTTATATTGCATGTAACTTATTTTGTCTATAAAGGCTGGTGTAAAGGTTTTCATTGAGATTTTAAAACGTCAGGATTTGACCATCATGACAAAGAGTAAAAGTTAGTCAACTTACATGGCAATTGAAGCTTAGCACAGAGAGGAGGGTCTTAACCATGCTATTTAATATCAAACAGCAGTGTTGAAACTGAGCTGGAAACCCGCAGCACGGCAGAGCAACAGAGTGTGCAGTGCACAGCATGTCGGCCTGTTGTCTGTCTGAACCATTTTATCTCCATAGGCCTTTTTCCACACCTGAGTGATGTTACCATGGCATGCCATAGTAGGAAAAACACAGTTGTCACACGATTGGCTCTGGTCTATTCATATTCCCAAGCAAGCCACGACAGACATCATCAATTGCATTATTTACATCTGTGCTGAAAAAGGTCTTGTTGGCTCAAACTTTTATGGCTAAAGAGATCATCTGGTATTAAAAGTAGTGAATCTGTATGTTTCTGCTTTAGAGCCCATCATTTTCTACTTTTTAATGCTAATTACCTCCCATAGTCTGCAAACGTAAGCCTTTGACAGCAAAATCTAGCAGAGCCACTGTTAACTATAATGCTAAAGCTATTGCTAATTATGCACTACATGTTGACAAAATGTTTGAAAGTGTTTACAGAACAGTTAGTAGCTACATTTTGCTTGCTAAATGAAAAGCTGTATCTTAGTTTTTTGTTAACAATGGGTTAACTATGTGACTATGTGTAATATGAAATAGGCAAACGCACAGAGAATTATCACCTGACTCTGAAGTTCCTATTAGCTCTACAGAGCCTTTTATTCACTTTAAGTTATTTGCTGTGAGTTTACAGAGCACAACTTTACGGTGTTTAGGATCACTCTACCTGGCCTCATTAACCTTTTTTTTCTAGTCATAGCAGGCAGCTGTTTTTTAGTGAACAAACTCTGTACCATTACATTTACTCATTTGGCAGACGCTTTTATCCAAAGTGACTTACATTTGAGGAACAGCATACAAGCATCAATACAGCATGAGATCTACAACTGGCAATACATACTAGTAAGGGTAAGAATAAATAAGAGCTAATAGCACGTATGGCATCAATGGGGCAAATACCTAGGGAAGGAAGTAAGAGTTAACAAAAAACGTGCAATCAATACAAGAGAAATGTAAGGGGATAGAAGAAGATGAGCACAGGAAGTACATGTTATAAGAGAAAGTGTTCTCGGAGGAGATGAGTTTTGGACCAACTGAAAGCCACCTGCCCAGGACGAAACAGGTTAGCAACTATAGCTAGCTGGTGAATATAGTGGATCATCAAGAGCTAGCTATTTCACTCAAAACTTATTGGGGACCATAACAGAGCTAAAATGAGTGATATTATACTTGAATCCATCAGATACCCAGAGACACAACTCCAAATATATGTCGCTTCATGTCTGTCCAAGGTGTAAGCTGTTTGCAAATGTGTTCACTGTAATACCTGTATGACAGTTTATTTTTACTTAAATAAATAATACAATTGTGTTATTTATGGGACAGATACAGTGTTTCTTGGCCCAGCCCTTATGCCTACTTATTCTGAAAGGTTTACTCCTGCCTTGTCTTTGATACTTGATACAATTAAAGTGCAGCTCTTAATTGGATTATGTGTGCAATACCAGAGCTGAAGCAATAATTGATAAGACAGGTAGACTCAAGGACTGTATTGAGAAAATGTCAGTTGTTCTTTTTATTTGTGCTATGTTAGAGGTTAGAGCACGCTACATCCTGCTGTTATGATGTTACATGTGTGAGAGTATGTCCTTGAGCCAAATCACCAAATGAGATAGCAGGAACAAACTTTGAAGTGTGTTCTAATGTGTATGATGCAATGTGTTAGTAAAATTAAAATTAAAATCTGCCCAGAGTGATTGTAATCTTTTGTTTGTCGTATGTGTGTGTGTAGACCTTGCTGTGTGTGTTCTCCCAAGTTCACCTCCAGACACAAAAGACAACATTGATCTCTCTTTCTGTCTCACTCACACATACACACACACACACACACACACAGGACTCACCCATTGTCCCCTAACCACAACCTCTCATCTAAGTGGATCTAAACCACTTATTCCATCAATGCTCTGTGTGTGTGTCTTACAGGGGACACAGGAATTTTTTAAGTCAGTGACCTAACCAAGACCACTGAGCATTGACCTGGAGGCCTGGAAAGCCTTTTATCCATCAGTTTCTCTCAGCGTCATCAATCCATCTCCAGCCTACAGCATCTTGTTTTCTCCTCCAGTGATTCAGTTACCTTTTCTTGTATGCTCCTGTGGCTCTTTCTCCTCTCTCTCTCTGTCTCTCTCTCTCACACACACACACACACACACACACACACACACACACATCATCCAGCTTTTTATGAGCCCTTCACATTTATTTGGCTTTTTTTTGTTTCACATCACCCCCACCCCACCTTTTGCTGACAAAAACTTTTAGCAACTCAAGCTATACCCAGACAGTAAATGGTATCTTAATGAGCAAGTCAGTGAACACAGGACTCAAAGCCAAAATATGGCAAGCCTGAGTCTATCAAGAATGTTTACAAGAACTTACTGTCTCCACAGATTAGCGTACAACTCATGGATAGTAATAGATTCCAATATGACCTAGCATCAGAGAATAAACTACACAAAATACATTTGTTGTTCTAGGTTAAGGCCAGCTAAAGATGACCTAATAGGGAAACCTACAGGCGCTAGGGGGAAGACCGAAACATAAAAAGGGATCTAAAGACGTTATCCTTCAGATTTGGTGCTGGCATTCGATGTGTTCACATGTTGCGTGCTGGCAGTGTATCTCCTCGGCCGATTGTTAAGTCTTCATCAGACTCGGAAACTTCTTCACACTTGACCCTGGCTCACAATATTTCTTCAACAGTAGATAGCCTAATACACTTTATTCTGTGCATTGATACCTATATATGATGCATGTGGATCTTGAATCACGTGGTAGACTTCAAGTACTATCAACACTGGTGTGTGATGAAATATCTGATTTCCTCCCTCGCAGAGGCTCAAACACAAACACACACATCCAAGAGCTGAAAGGGATTTTATGTTTAAACATTCTTTTATCTGGTTGCTTTGATGATATTGTTCTGTAAATTAATGCCAATAACGCACACGGAACTGAGATGAACTGAAAGGGCCTTTCTCTTATTTTTGTCTCTATTGTGGCACTGCACATTTTCCTCTCTTTTTCACTGTTGAATCAGTTTTTGCCATGGCATCACCCACTCTGCCTGTCCAACCCAGAAACCAGAAGCCTAACACTAAATTGTAAAAACAGCATCTATGTAAAGAAGAGTGTGTTATGCATATCTTACTATAAACATGACGACTTAATTAGACTGCAATGCAAACGCTGTGTCAGAAGCATTTAGCGCATGCTGTGCACCTCTTACAGATGCAAATAGTGTGTCTGTGTGTGGGTGTGTATTCAAATCTGACTCTGTGTGGAATGCATTTAAATTCTTCAGTTAACGGCCCTGAAGTAAAAGACACTAGAGTATTTAATGTGCCATGCACTAGAGCTGCACATTTGTTGCTACGCCTTAACCTTAATTAATGAAGTTATCTTGATGTTGATATTCAGCGGATGGTCATTTCCCCCACTGTCAATTACTTGTGAGGCACACAAGTAAAACCCAACCCTGAATATATATGGGATTATTTGAGAGAGAGAAGCAGTCACTAAAAATGAATATCCAATAGGTTCAAGCTAACCATAGCCTGATTATATTTCTCCCACACCTAATAACAATAATGTTGATGGCCTTTGTTTGTGAGACTCAAGGAAATATAGGAAATCTCTAATTAGAGCAGAAGCAGACGGGGCAGAATGAAAGACAGAGGTTGTACCAAAAAGTACTGCATCCCAAACATCACCAGGATGTGTCAAACATCAAAGCATTTCTATTGTATTGAGGTTGGTTTCCGTTAATTGGCTTCTTCCCAGAAGAACTTTGGTCAACTTTGAAAATCAAAGACTGTTTGAAATTCTCCTTGTGAACATATGTATTTTCAGCACTCCTCCCTGATCTGCCTCTGTGTGATTTGCAGCAGACTATTACGACTAACAAAACAGTCGTAATAGTCCTGATGTACATCTCCAACCACTTTATCTATCCCAGATACTTCAAGAAAAAGTTGTTTGACATTTTGGGAAATGTACCTTTCTGCTTACTGGCCAAGAGTTAGATGAGAGGATACCACTTTCATGACTATATTGTCATGCCCAGCTCTAGCACTTAAGATCATTTTAATGCAATCAGCTGAATTTAATAGGAAAAACAGACAACTGTGGAAACTGGACTACAATTTGCGCTTCGTGCGAGTCTGTAGTATAACAGACGTTACCAGCGGGATTAATAAATAAATAATAGAAGCCTGGACAGAGACTTCATTGTTCATTACATGGTCAACACTTT